TTTTGCTGGAAGAGTACCGCTTCAAGAAATTTGTCATCCGATACAGTCTAAGCGGATTTTGTAAAAAATATACAGTTGGACGTACAGCTGCACGTACGTTTTTTGGGCACAGCGTGTTGATCTTGTTGGTCATAGGTTTTTCGCGAATAATCTACGAGGCCTGCAGACTCATTTGAACATTTTTTAAAATACTTGCGTTACTGTTTAAGCGAATTTTGCGAGCAACAGTTGGACGTACAACTGCATGTACGTTTTTTCAAAGGGTGTTAGGTGCGCTAACCTAACTTCCCGAATCTTCTGCATTATACCAATCGAAAATGCTCACAAGAAGCCAGACAAACGAAACCCCAGCTGCCGTTGATGGTGATGCTAGCAACTCCGATTCGGACGCAGATGCCACCGCAGTCAACATTGGAGCCCAAGACGCTATGGCGCAACCACAAGCCAACGTCGGAGGCGATGCGTTGGCCACCTTGGTTGCTAGCATTGCGTCACTACGTGCAAGTGTTGAAGAGTTGCGTAACGAAACCTGCCGTAGCCAAGCAGAAGTTCAGCAGCTCCGACTGCGAATGGAAATGGATTCAGCCAATGCCACCGCGCCAACGTGTGAAGTACAGCCGCCAGTTCAACAGTTCCCTCAAGCAGTACAACAATTGCCTGTAGTACAGCCGCCATTGCCGTTGCCAACAAATGCATTGCAGTTTGTCGAGGGTTCAGCCGCCAAGCTATACCCTTTGCCAACTTTCGATGGTAGTCCGGAAGATTGGCCATTATTTTCGGCAAATTATGTGGACACTACAGCAGAGTTCGGCTATAATAACAGTGTAGCATAAGCACATCGCCCTTTTTACTTTAATTGTCATGTGCACATAAGTAATGTATAAACAAATAGGAATGTACACAAACAACAGTTTACCCAAATCAGTTACATTGAACTCAGCGGGAGTTTATGCAAAGACTGCATTCATCGCACATAGCGAGGATCTTGTTACACTTGTGCGGACGGTCAAAGACACCGCCAAAGACAGTCGCAGTGACTAACTGATCCACAACGTCAGTTTGTCAATGCGACTGACATATTTATATATTTATTGCAACCATATGTTGACTTAGCATATTTTAGAGTTATGTAGTTAGTTTGTAGGTATTAGTAGTATATTTGTATACATTCTAGTTCGTAAATAATTTGTAAGTGTTAGTGTAAGAATTTGGTATAAAAGAAAGTGAAATCAATAAAGTAAACCAATTGGTGATCAAACTCCAACCAATAACTTATTATTTGCTATAACAGGCAAAATCTCATGCGATTGCAGAAAGCGCTGCAAGGCAATGCCAAACGAGCAGTCATGTCCATGCTCATATATCCTGACGATGTGCCCAAAGTAATGAAGGAACTCGAATTCAATTTTGGTCGGCACGATTTGTTAATACGTGCGCAACTACAAAAAGTTCAACAGTTTCCTACAATTCACGACAACCGCCTAGATCAGGTTCTGGAGTTTTCCAATCGAGTTCGCAACATAGCCGCGTTTTTCAAATCGGCGCAATGCGAGCAGCATCTTATGAACCCTACACTTCTAGAGCAATTGATCTCAAAGCTGCCGCCGTCGAAACAATATGAGTGGAGCAAGCATGCTGCCAACATTAAGCCGTTTCCTACAGTAGACAAATTTGCAGATTGGTTGAGCGACTTGGCCAAGGTCGTGTCAATCATGCCTGGGGTAGCTGAAATTTCTCTGCGTTACAGCCAAGCGTCGTTGCCATCGTCGCGTCAGCAATCCGGTAGCAGTCGTCAGTTTGCGTCAAGTGGAATTCCGGCACGTCGAGTCTTACACAGCAGTGGGGAGCAGCCTGTATGTTTGTGTTGTGATCAGTCGCACGTCTTAACTGATTGCCGTAAATTGAAATCAAATGATTGCCCAGCCAAGTGGTTGCTTGTCAAACAACACCGCCTTTGTTTCGGTTGTCTACAAGCAGGTCATGGGTTATCTGATTGCCGTCGTCGTAAAGCATGCGCCATCAATGGTTGCAAGCGTATGCATCATCAGTTGCTGCATCAAGACAATCAGCCGTCGTCACAGCCAACCGCCGACCGGGAACGCATCCTCAACTGTCGCCAAGAAAGTGAAGTCAGCCTATTTAAAATTTTGCCGGTGATATTGTCTGGCCCGCATGGTAGTGTGAACGTGTATGCTATGTTTGACGAGGGGTCATCTGTGTTTCTACTGGAGGAAGAGGTCGCAACACGGCTGGGGTTGAGAGGACGTGTTAAGCCACTTACCCTGCAATGGTACGGTGACAGCCAAACAACAGAGAACTCAAGGCCAGTGTCATGTGAGGTGAGAGGGGTGAATGGTAACAACTATTCTCTGAAAGATGTGCATACGATAAAAAGCCTTAATCTGCCGAGGCAATCGCTCGATAAGTTTAAATACGTGCACTTAAAAGAATTGCCTGTGCGTAACTACGTCGATGTCAAACCAGTTTTACTGCTGGGTTTGGATAATTGTCACTTAAGTGTGCCCATCAAAATAGTCGCGGCCCGATATGACCAACCAGTCGCCATCAACACAAAGTTGGGTTGGGTCGTATATGGACCTCACCGCCAAGAAAGCGTTGCCGTTCCTCGAGTTCTTCATGTTCGCAAGTCAGACGCATTGAAGCAATTAAATAAGCTAGTGGAGGATTATTTTGCTACAGAAAATTTTGGTGTCAACAGTCAAGTCGTCTTGGAGTCGGACGAAAACCAACGCGCCAGAAAAATATTGGCGGAAACAACAAGGGACCTCGGTCAGGGGTATGAAGTTGGCTTGTTATGGCGGGAGGACTCGGTCATTCTGCCGCCAAGCTATGCAATGGCCAAGCACCGCCTACTTAACATCGAGTCGCGAATGCAGAGAGATGCAGTTTTCGCGGAAAACTACAAGAGGGAAGTCGCGAAGTACCTCGACAAAGGATATGCGAAGCCATTGACGCCTGATGAAGCCACCGTGGAAGGACCAAGAACTTGGTACCTCCCTCACTTTGCTGTTGTGAATCCACACAAGCCGCAAAAACTCCGCATCATTTTTGACGCAGCCGCCGCTACAAATGGTATTTCGCTTAATTCTGTGTTGCTGAAGGGTCCGGAGCAAGCTCAGCCACTGATAGCTATTATACACAAGTTTCGTCAGGGTGTCGTCGCTGTGGCCGGTGACATCCAGGAGATGTTCTCGCGAGTACAAATTCTGGAGGCCGATCAAGAGTCACAACGATTTCTGTGGCGAGATGGCAACACGTCCGAGCCTATACGTATTTATAAAATGTCGTCAATGACTTTTGGAGCTATTTGTTCGCCGTGCTGTGCGGAGCACGTTAAAAATACCAACGCCATCAAATTCATGTCTACGATGCCAAGGGGTGCACGAGCTGTCATTGAAAATACATATGTCGACGATTTGGTCATGAGTTTTAATAGTGCCGAAGAAGCTATTGAGGTCATCAACGAAGCTGTCAAAATCAACGCCGCTGCATCTTTCAAGCTCCGCGATTTTATATCCAACGACAAACTAGTTCAACAGAAGCTGAATGGTGAAGGTTCATCTGCCAACAAGCAAATCGTAAGAATGGAGCGTCAAGCAACAATGGAAAAAGTTCTTGGTATGTTTTGGAACACTGCTAACGATGGTATTGAATTTCAGTTTAAATTCCACAAAATTACTCACGATGTTATTGATGGTACACGACCTCCAACCAAGCGCGAATTGTTGGGCATAGCTATGTCCATGTACGATCCGTTTGGTCTCTTGGCAAACGTTACAATATGCATAAAATTACTGGTGCAAGCAATGTGGAAGCAACGGGTCCAGTGGGATGAAGCGATGCCATATGAATTAGCGCAGCAGTGGTCAAAGTGGTGGAGCAACATCCAGTCAGTTAAGCATCTTTCGGTGCCAAGATGTTACTATTTAATGTTACCGGTAGCAGAGGAGATACAGCTGCTTATTTTTGTCGATGCCAGCTCTCTGGCCTATGTCGCTATGGTGTGCGCAAAGTCAAGGTGTGCGCCACTTAAGGGTATGACTATACCACGTCTGGAGCTACAAGCTGCAGTTCTGGGTTGCCGTCTGAAGGAGTCATTAGAACGATGCCATGATTTTCGTGTGAGCAGCACTACATTTTGGAGCGATTCCAAAACCGTCATACTTTGGATTCGTTCAACACATCGAGACTACAAGCAGTTCGTCGCATATCGTGTGGCCGAAATACTAAGCAATACATCGTCAGATCAATGGCGCTGGATTCCCACGTCATTAAACGTCGCAGACGAAGCAA